GCATAACCAAACCAAACCAAACCCAATGTCAGCATACAAATCCGCTTTTGCCTTACAGAGTCAAGGCAGAGGATGCAAGCCTGTGACTAGGAGGATTCGTTGTCAGTGACGACAGCGACAGCAACTGTGTTTCTGATCCTTTGCAACTTTGAACCCACAGCATATGATGGCAGGTAGAGGGACTAGTAAGCTTCTTTTGCTGAAAAATAACTGATTGTATATATTTATTTTGTTCATTCATTTAATAAAGTATATCTTTGTTCTGGAATTAAGTTGGAAATCGAGATTACTCTACAGAGTGCTGTTCCAATGCCAAACCATTCCTCTGTTAATGTTAGCCTTAAAAGCTCTGCAGTTGCGCAGTTGAGAGAGTCGCGCTCTTAAATGTTACGCCCGCTGCTAGCCGAACTGACAGTTGTTCCACTGCCACAGTGTTCCTTCGCCAATAAGTAGTGCAGTAGTTCAACATCATGGCCCCCCTAATACGTATCATGTTCCCGCTCCCGTGCTCTTTCACGTAGTGCACTAGGTAATGGTTCGCATGCCAAGCTCACATTTCATGCCTGTGCCTGTCCCTGTCCCTCGGAGCGGAGATAAAATATGTGTTTGTCACGGCTTCGAATGGGCCTTTAACACCGACGTTGTTGTTGCTGCTGCTGCCGTCTGCCGTCTGCTGACATCTGGCATCGGATCGGGCGGGCTGGCTGGCTGGCTGGCTGGCTGGTTGCGTGTCCGGCCACAGTTTGCGGAGGAGCAGTACTACAGTTCGAAAAGTTCCAAATATATGACCAGGCACTTGATAAAACCTGTTGAAAGGGCCCCCGTGTGCGACAAGTGCAGCAGCAGTGCCGTTGATTTATTGGTTCTGGGGACAATATTTTAATTAAAACTCCTTTATATTTCGATGAAGTTTTCCATGATTGCAAGCGAAGCCTGTCGCCCGTTTTCTTACATTTTGTGGCCTTATCTTATTTTTGATGCTCCCTGAAGTAATTTTGGGCGCAAGAGCAGACGCATATCGGCAGAAGATGCAGACACCCAATAAAACTTTTGCGACAAGTGGGGGAGTTTTGAGTGTTACGAAAACAGAAAAACAAAAAAATAATAATTTTTGAGTTTATTCTATTCCTACCAAAAAGGGGGGAAGATCTATCTGGAGATGGAGCTCGAACTGGACTCTCCCCAGGCCTCAAGGACTACTCCTCGGCTGTGGTCTGTCTCTGTCCCCTGTACCTCGCCCTCAGTCTGTCACTGGAACATTTTCAGTTTTCTATTTGCCATATCTGGGTATTGTTGTTGCTGCTGCTTCTGCTGTTGGGAAAACTATTTGCCATCTCGACAATTTCCTGCACGTGCAAAGCATCGCAAAAGCGAACTTTTTCGATTGCAACATCAGATGGTAGATGGTGATGGTGGGTGGTAGATGGAAGATGGGAATGGGGGGGAATGAGAATCGTCCAGTGGTACTGTGCGGGCAGCAGGTACAATATTTCAATAAAATATATATTTACGTGAAAGTAAGTAAAGAAAACTTTCAATGATTTCATATTTTTGCAGCCATTGAAAGCAAATTGCCTGCCTGGCCCTACCAATGAAGTCCTTCAAGTCGATTTGCCGTGTGCTCTATATATTTGCACATCGGAGGAGAATCGACAATTAATAACAATTAGAACCGGCGCCGCCAGCTTCGCCTAATTGTGGATAATATATAACTCTGTTCCCTCCTATATAACACTCTCTCCTTCCCTTCCCTGCGATTATATCAATGGGTGTGCGTGTGTGTGTGCGTGTGTGTGTGTCTCGTACTTTGTGCAATAATTTATGCCAAAAGCGTAATTAAATTAATTAGGATTAACTTTGGCTGTGCACGCATTAAACTAGCTTTGATTAGCTTATGTTTCTGCATACATTTGACAACTTAGACATGCAGATAGTACAAATGTATCTACGCAATACGCGTGTGTGTGTATGTCTCTGGCTGTATTTGTATCTGTATGTGTATGTGTATGTCTCTCTGTGTGTGTCGCACATGTCGCATGCTGTTTAATCTAAATGTTGGCTTTGGGTCGCCTCGGTAATCATAAAGATGGAATAAGCGATGAGCTGTCTGCATCTGCCAATTTGGTTTAGTTATGCTCTCCTCTCTAGCTGTTGTTGTTCTGGCGGTTGTTGTTTATACGCTACGTGGCTGAGCCGTGAAAAGGCTCGGTCCTTGCCTTTGCCTTGTCTATCGTTTTGTAACTTTAATTTCCAGTCTTTAACGTTAAAGTTATTTTATTTTTTTGCTATTAGCTGTTGCTGTCAAAGTATAAATTTAGTTAACTAAAACTAAAACTTTAAAATATGTGAAAATATATAAAATATATTCATCAAATGCTGTAATTACAAAATAACTTTCAGTTAAAAATCTCCAGTCAACAGAAAATGGATTAGGTGTGTGCATGTGGTAGTTGTGATTGTGGCTTTAAGAGTTTTATGCAAACCTGATGAATATTTATCACTTTTGGGCCAAGTAATGGTCGTCTTTTTGCACAGAATGGATATCTTATTTATGTGGTGAAGTCTTCGGATTGTCATAATTCTTTTGGCAGTTCGTTTTCCTATTAGTGACTTATCAAATATCTGGCCAGCTCTCATTTTAATTACAGCCAGCTTTAGCATTGTCTGTGTGTGGTCAAATGGTTTCGTTTTTTTTTTTATGTGCTGGTCGTTTCATCTGCTTTAATTTATGTCACGAATAAATGTGTCGCAAATCATTACGCGGGAGATTTTTCTTGTTTTTGTTTTTGCCATGTGATTGTTGGGAGTGTCGGGGCGCTTTATTTAATGGCTTGGAAATGGAAAAAATAAACAAACAAACAAACCCAAACAGGAGCAGCGATGACGAGAGGCATTCGAGTTGGAGGATAGTCGAGGGATGAGCGAGCCACCTAAATATAGACACAAATCACAAAAACTCGGCGAGCAAAAACAAAGGCAAACAAAGAGCTATGGCAGGGCTTTGCCCAGTGCCGAAGCATTCCATACCCTTTATCATATATATATACATATATATATACTATGTAGTTATCCCGTTGTTAAATAAATTGGCATGAAGCTAAAGAAAAATGGCACAGTAAAAGGAAACACTCATGTAGTTAAGATAAGTTGTGATACTAAATATAAATCAAATAAATTTATATATAAATAAATACGGGCCATATTAATCCAAATATAAAACACACTAAATTAAATAAATTATATATTAAATATATTAAAAATTAAATAGGTAAATGAAAGTAAAATTAAAGTAAATTAAATTTGAAATATATTTTGAGATTATTTGAATTAAATTTAGGTATACATATATATATACCTTACCCTCTCAAAGGGTATGAGATGCGAGCCAAGTGCTGTTGTTGTGCATGGGTGGCGTGCCGGTGGTCCTGCTGCTGCTCCTTGCTGCTGGTAGGGAATGAGCACATTAAATCAAAAGTGGTGCATAAAGCAGAAACAGGAGCAGCAGCATAGTCAGCTGAGAGGAATGGGATGCGATGTGTAGTAGATGTGGCACGAAGAGGTTTACATAGAGCAAAGAGCATCGAGTTGAAAACACAAGGATTAAAGGCGGCAAAGGACGACGAAAACGAGGCAAACGTTTAACGCCTGCAGGATATTTATGATCATGAATTTTCTTATTGTGCTGCTGCTCCTGCTGCTGGCCTTGTCCCATGTCTCTGGACCCGATGCTGCCTCTGCCCCCAAACTCTAAGCGATTTATTAAAATGTGCAGTAGTCGAGCAAGGAGCAGGAGCAGCATCACCAGCAGCAGCATGATAGAAACAGAGAGGAACCCAATGGACAGCTGTCTGTGGCATGAACCGAAAGGAGCTGCCCGTCGTCTGCCCCACTGCTTGAGTGGCCTCGACCTGCTTCGATTCCCTATATATACATACAAACATACAAATACAAATAGCCGTATGTATGTATGTACGTATTTTTATGCAACGATGGCAATGCCGCGCCCACCAATCGACAAAAATGAGTTATAAAACTTGAATAATCTAAACGAAATATTTATTCATGTTTAGCACGAAGACGACTCGAAACGACGACGCGGTCTGGCTGTGAGGGGGGCGTGGTACCCGTACTCACAGTGGGAGAGAGAGAGCGAGAGCCTCGGAGCAGCCATTACTTTATTTACATCATATCCTGCAGGATGTGTTCGGCACACCGTGCGACTGTGGCGCACTTACAGCGAATCAATAACAAAATAAATCGCTTTACAACCGCAGGACATTGTATTGTGTTACACAAAAGATTGCCAACGCCAGGCCACCCAAAAGGGACGGCATGGGGGATGGGGCATGGCATGGCATGAGTGCCTGCTGCCAGTAAAGGAATGAAGCAGGAGCTGGGCCAATGAAAGCGAAATAAACGAATCGAAACGAAACGAAAGGAAAGGAAAGGAATACGTACAGCAACAAGAAACAATGCCAGCCACTTGGCAGAGAAAACAAGCAATGAAAGGATATTATAGTAAAAGTATTTATACAGCAAAAGGGACAAAGACGAGCACCGAACACAGAGCACCGAGCAACGAGCACCGAGCAGCGGGTCCGTCGAGTACGTAGATGCACTCGCACTTGCAGGACGATAAAGTGAAAGGAAGTAGAAAGTATAAATCGTTGCAATCAATTTTCGCTATGTGCTACGAATTGATAAACTGCTCCTGGCCAGCCAGCACCAACTGCAGACCCACCCCCCATCCTGATCCCGCACAGCATGCTGCCCCTGTCGAGCGTTAGACGATACTCCCAGGTTCAGTTCGGTTCGCCTGTCAGGTGCAAGGCTTTATTTAGGTTACCCTACATACGCGTACTACCACAGAAAAGTGAGAGCTTATGGCTCCCACTGTGTCTCCCTGGGTCTCCCTGGGTGCCTCTGGAGCTACCACACAAAAGTCTAAACAGAGCGCGACAAATTCGAGCTTCATTCGTAGTAATAAATTCCATTCTGGCTGTGTGGATTATGACAATGCAAATCGATTTCCTCTTCGAGATACACACAAACTGGTAGCATTTGTGAGTAAAGCCGATAAAGGGTATTAATATCATGTTTATTAATCGTAAGTTTCAGTTTGAGGTCCCACATAGACAAAGTTTTCCAGGCCATGCTTCAAGCGGAAGTTCATAATTGGATCGCCCGATATGCAGCCCATTAGGCAGCTGCAGCCACGCGGATTGCACTTGCCCATGCCGCACCAGGCGCCCCACACATTCATGCCGTCACCGCATATCCTCGCTTTGCATGTGTAGTTAAAGTCCTCAGTGCCTCCAAACATTGCACAATTAATTGGATATTCGGTTTTCGCCAGGTGGAAGATTATGGATACGGGCCTGCAGCACTCGGCGCTGGCCTTCAGCGGCAGACACAAAAGCCAAATCGCCAGGATATAAGTGAGGATCAACATCTTTGCTGATCTTTTGCTAAAGACTAAATACACAAGTGGCTGCAGCAAACCTTTTTAAAGGCCTCGAGCACAGGATAAGCCCAAGAAAGCTGTTGTTCAGCTATAAAGTGAAATCTGTTTCTTTTTGGTTGGCCATAATTAAATAGAAACATTTGTGTACCGCAAAGAATTACAAAGCACATAAAACACCTGGCTTCAATGGGTAATGCTAAAAGGCAGCTTAACTATTATTTATCACTTCAACACTGGCGTTTACTCATAGTATGAACATTTGGCAATGGAAAACATTTTTATTGTGACTTAAAATTTGTATTGGTGGACTAACGGAAGGCGGGCACCTTTCTCACATAGACAAACTTGGAGAATCCATTTCTCTCCAGGAAACTTCTAATGGCCTCCGATCGAGGCTGAATGCATCCGTTTTTGCAGCGACAACCAATTGAATTGCACTCGCCGCACCACTGGCCCATAACGATTTGGCCATCATTACAGATCTTTGCCTTGCAGCTATTTTTTCTTTTATCTGGCTCCCCGCCGTACGTGTCACAAGTGCGTTCCTCTATGCTGCGCTTCAGCTCAAAGCGTATGCGGGTGGGCCTGCAGCAGACTGCCGTGGTCAGCGAGGGCAGCCAGAGCAGCCAAATGCAGGACATGATGGCAAATAAGACAATCGAGAATCTCATTTTTAGCTACCAAAGAAATGGAGAGGCACTGTCACACTGAATAGTGGAGTCTTGGCGTTCGTCTTTTTAAAGTCTGTCGTTGCCGGATCCCAGGCAAGCGGCTTACGGCTCACGGCCGATAAATGATATTTGAGCCGCAAAAGGTGTCTTTCAGACAAAGCTGTTTTTCCCTTGCGATACATAAAATATTATTATTAAAATATTAGTAAAACTCTTATGCAAATAACATTGGACTGACAGCTGTGAAGTTAAATAAATAAATAAATAATAGCTAAATAACCGAATAAATAGCAAGAAAATAAATCAAATGCGTTTTTGTTTTTAGCTCGAGTTTACAACTGGAACTCATTTATATTTTAAAGTACGCGTATAGAACACTTTAGACTTTATTTTTTATTGATCACCATCCGTACGTGGCAACACATAAAGAAAATTGTAGAAACCATATTTTTCATTGAAACTAAAAATGGGATCGTGGTGCATCTTGATGCATCGGCGCTTGCAGCGACAACCACGTGAATCACAACTGCCCAGGCTGCACACACTGCCTTTAACAGGGTTTCCATCGTTACAGATCGCCGCTGAGCAGGTGCCGTTCTCGTTTTCACTGCCGCCAAAGGATCCGCAACTTTCTCCTTCCGCCTCCGGTGACAGATCGAAGGATATATGTGTGGGCCTGCAGCAGATGGACGTGGTCTGCGACGCCAGACATACCAGCCAAATGGCCAGGATGCCCATGAGATGATAGATAAGCCATAATCCCATCCTGAACTGCCTAGAAGCTGTACAAATATTGTGCAACTGAAACACTGAACGCCTTTGAAAAGCTATTTAAAGAGTGCCCCTGTTTCCGTTCCCGTTCGCCGTCTGCTCTTTATACGAGTACCTATGTACCTCAATCAAGCTGTTTTGGGACAAAGCTGTTTTTCGATTTATTTATTATCTCTTTATTGGCTATTTATGTCCGACATAGATAAAATTGAAGAACCCATGCTTCTCACGGAAACTGTCAATGGGGTTCGAACCGCTGGCGATGCACCCCTTCTTGCAGTGACATCCGCTTGGATTGCACTTGCCTTTGCCGCACCACGTGCCCCACACATTGTTGCCGTCATTGCATATCTTCGCCGTGCAGACGTAGTTCTTGGCTGACTTCCCGCCGAAGGTCTCGCAGGTGTGCGAATTATTGTTCCTCGCCAGCTCGAAGCGTATCTTTGTGGGCTTGCAGCAGTCGGCCCTGGTCTTTGAGGATAGGCAGACTAGCCAAATGGCCAGGATAAGCGGCAGGACAATACAAAATCTCATATTTCACAGATAGGAAATGCTGAACGACTGAAGACTGAATACTTGATGTGCTGGGATCAAAGCTTTTTAAAGAGTTTCGATCCGCAAATTCTTCCATGTAAGAAGAATTGCAATTAATTTCGACACAGTTGATAAGGGGAGATAGCTGAAAAGAGCCCATTGCGCCAACTTGTATTACGATGTGCTGATAAGAGTAAGTACACTCAGAGAAAAATAGTGAAATACAAATAATATATATCTGTACATAATATAGCTTATTGTTATTTGTTATTGAAAACTATTATATTTAATATTTTTAAATTTAAGTGTAATCATTCGAATCTAAGAACTTTTTCTCTGTGTGTAGCAGTACATATTAATTAACAGTTGTTCTCCAGGGTGTTCTAAAAGTCACTGACGTCTTTTGGTACAACATATTAACCAGTTAATTGATTGCTGGAGTGAGGAAAAATTACTGTATATAATGTTTAAAAAATTAAAAAGATACAACAATTTTTTCTTGTCTCCGAAGGCATCTGGCAAGCCTAAGGTTACAAAGTGAGGTTGCTGTCCGAGTCTTTAGTTTTAGGCTGGAAAACGACACGGATGCTAAGCACTACATATATGAGGATCACTCTGAACTGATTAATTGTACGGGAGTCGCATCAGAAAGAGCGGCTGATGTAGACTTTAACACTTGCCGCCAAAAGATTGTGTACACGCTGCGTAGGAGGCACAATAAAAGCTTAATTTATATACAGTATCAGCAGCATTGACAACGACGACGAAATAAATATTTTATAATTTAATCAACATAAAAGCAACAAAGCAAAGACAAAGGGCGCGACTGCTCTTGGCTGCCGCCTCTGCGGTTAAAGGAGACAATAAAAGCCGGGGCAGAAGTACGTCGCGTCCCGTTCCGCGATAATGCTTAATGATAAGGAGAGAAGGAGAGTCAGTCGGCTTGAAATACTGGCGGCAATAGGCAAAGATGTTTATCATACGAGTGAGACAATAAAAACGGGAACAGACGTCAGCCCCGGCCCCGGCCCCGGCCGCATTCCCATTCCCATTTCCATTTGCAGGCCCATTCTATGGGAGGTCGACGACTGGCGCTGACAAATGGACAATGTCTGACAGACGACAGGCCCGTGAGCGCTTCAAGTTGGACAAGTTTATATTTGCATTTATTTCTATTAGGCGCACATTTGTCAAAAGCTGTTTACGAGTATGTGCGCTCCAAAGATGGAATCTCTCCCTTTATCCCATCCCATGCAACCTACTTGCACCCCAGCCAGACATCTTTAACTCCATGAGGTGTGGAAGGAAACGGCAACTTAAAGTTGCCGCATCGGAAGTCGGCTCGGCTCGGCTCGTATTGTTTCTTTTTTTTTTTTGTTTTGTTTTGTTTTTAGACAAACGGACTCATCAAAGTAATAAAATATTTATTCGGTATTGTTGTGCACTTTTATTTGACATCATAAACAAAACCCACAAAAGTGTAAACACAAGTTGCCACAGCTCTCGCTCTCTGCAACGTGAGTCAAAGTTGTTTGCCCCGCCGACTGCTGCCTCGTCTACCCTGCCACGCCTGCCCCGCCTGATCCTTGTTCCGAGGGGGCACTGTAAGGTTGCTGCTGGAGCTCTTCCTGTTGTTGACTTATTTAAGACATAAAGTGCTCACGCACAAACACATATCCGCATTGGCGGAACGGAGCTGAGTATTGACACGGCTACGTGTGGGCGTTCCTAAATTTAACGCCTTGCTACGAGCCCCAAATACGAGACACAAAAAATAACAAAACGAAAAACCCAAAGCGGAAAAACAACAACAGCCAGAATAAAACAGAACAAGTTAGGTAGAATTTATCTCTTTGAAGACCGAAGGCTGAGATACTCTTTGATGGAATTTAAATAGATTGCAATAAGGGAGCGAGCCTGAAAGCTAAGGACTAAGTGGAATGAAATGGAATAGAAAATATATTTAATTTGTAAGTTAATATAGGCTTCCGTTTTTGCATGGCTAACGTCCTGGAAATCTCAGCAATACCCTACCTCAAGGTATAACGCTAGACAAAATCAAAAACGCATAAATAGCTGTAACTGTTTCTTGATATTGTTTTGTTTGGGGCTGGTCAAGGATATGTCTGGGTGAGCTCTTAAAGCAAACAACAGATCTATTTGGGGAGCTACAGCTCTACAACTCCAGGCGTTTCTTTTGCTAAAATTTAAATTGCTTTTGCTAATTCCCATATACATTTCCCTATATATAGCAGATCAGGTTGGCAGGCTGCTCAATTAATGGAAAAAGCTTTTATAGGGCCTGCTGCCCTGCTTTCTATGCTAATCTGTGGAACTCGTCGCGGCGCTGCTTGGCATATCATTACGTTGCCGCGTCATCGGATGTGCCACAGGGCTAGGGCCGCAACAACAACAACAATTTGTAGCATAGTTACGTATGCGTATCCGTATGCGCTCCATTGTCTATTCGCCAGCACTCTCCCCCTACCCCCACCTCCTGTGCATCTTATTCCACTGCTAAGCCCCGCTCGCACATATGGAGCCACAGGCTGGGGCTCGAGACGCATTTTTTGTATACCTCTGCCTGCCTCGTCGTCGTCATCGTCGTGGGGGCCGTGCCACCTTGCTGCTTGCTGCTTGCTGCCGGGCGCTTACGTGCCACGCATATAAATTATTGTATCTCGAGCGTATTAAAAATGTACGAGTGCTCATCTTGTTATCCTGTTGTGTAAGCGGATTATGTCAGGCATAAATGTCATGCGTTGTGCCAGCACCACCCCACACCCCAACCCCCCCCTGGACTGACTGCATTTACCTCGTCCTTTGCTCTCTTTTGCGGCATTCTCTTTTGTTTTGCTTTCCCGTTTGGATTTTGCCTTTATTTATTTATTTTTTTTGCACACTCTCTTTTGATCCAACGATTTGTACCACAGTGTTGTTCAGCCATTTTGTATTACACATTACACACTGAGCCACAGGCACCGTGCCCCAACACCCACTACCCACTACCCAACACCCATTCCTATCACGTTCCCTGTCCATAACCCGAACCC